TGGGGCGCCGCGGCGTCGCCTCCGTCTGGTGGGGTTGAACGAGGTGGAGGGGCGAGGGCGGGGCGAGAACGACGAGGAGGGGAGGTTACCAGCCTGGAACATATCCCTATCCCTATGCTGGGCATCTCCTCATCACGATGCCAATCTTAGGGATTCCCTTATTTTTTGAGGGCGCATCCCTAACATTGTCATCGCTTTTTGGCATGTCAATCTTAGGGGTAGCATATGTTCGAGGCTGGTAAGGAGGGGCAGGGCAAGGGGAGGAGCGAATGACTGCTTTGGATACGCCCGTGAACCGTGCACCCGTCGGACGGGCGACTCGCCACACCGCCCGCCGCGCCGCGCGGAGTACCGCGCGCGCGCCCAGCAGTCATAGGTCGGGCATGCCCCCCCACAGGCGGAGTCTGGGCGCCAAAACTGAGAAGATCCAAAGCATACTCCCACCCAATGACACAATGACCAGAAGATCTTCCCCCGACGATTTCTTGCCATCTTTTTGGATATTCCCCTCCTGCAGAGAGGGACAGGCCCGACTTCACGGCAATCCCGAGAGAGGCAAGGACAGGGTGAGCCGGCCGACCCCTGACGGAGCAGCGACGCCGGTGCATGCGCCGGGCGGCGGCGGGGCGGCGAGGGGGCGGCGCCCGCAGGGCGGGGCGCCGGGGCGGGCTGGGGTTGGGTCGGGCATGTCCTCCTGCAGGCGGATTTTGGACGATTTTTTTGGTCCGCGCACATTTTGAGAGGAGAAGGAAGAAAGCTGAGGGGACGATACGCGACGCCGTAATCCAGTCCACTCCGGCTCCAAATCGGCAGCTTCGCAGCGTGGTTGCCACAATCGGTCGTCACGCGCACCAGCGTCGGCGGATTTTGGACGAAAAATAAAAATACTCATGCAAAAAACTCCAACATGTTCAAAAATAGTAGGAAAATCATTCCGAGACTTCGGCTGGACTGGTTTTGGAGATTCCTCCTGTAGAGAGAGGGACAGGCCAGACGTACGGCTGGGGCAGCGGAGCGGCGCGGTACGGACACGGTGGCCTTGGAAGGCCACTCCCAAGCTTCTCGAGCGGGGCGCGGCACACGAGGGTGGCCAAGGAGGGACCGAGGAGGCAAGGATGCAGGGGTACCCTGGGAAGGCTGCCCACTCCTATGCGGGCTGAGTGTAGGGTGGGGCAGCAGGAGGGGCGCCGCGCCAAAGTCTGGCGGGCAGCGCTGCTGGCAGCAGCAGCGGAGCGGCACGAGGGGCTCACACGCACACGCACGCACGGTGCGAGGCGAGGCGCAGCCGCCCTGCGCTCGGCGCCGAAGCACCGAGGACGGCATGGAGCCGCAGTGCCCCATCAGTGCGCAGCCCTCGGAGCGGAAGAGGAGAAGGCTGCGGTGGCAGAGCGGGGAGGAGGCTGGTGCAGACCTGGGAGGGGAGGGGAGCGGATGGGGACGAGCCTGGCCCAAGCTGCCCCCAAGATGTCAAAATGAGGCCCCCACGGCCTCCAGAGCACCCCATCACGGGGCCCAGAAGGCCCCAGGAGCTCCAGAGTGGAGCGACAAGCTGGGAAGCATTTTGGACCAGGGACACTTTCAGCGATCCCTGACTGGATGGGAGAGGGGGAGGGGGATAGGGGGAAGGACGAGGACGATGAGCGGAAGGAGCAAAACGGGGAGCAGGAGGAGAAGGCGGCAATGGGGGGAGAGGGAGAGGCCAGGGGGAGGGGGGAGGGCAATGACAGGAGGAGAGGCCTGGGAGGGAAAGGGACGGAGGAGAGGTCCGGGGCAGCATCCTGAGCCGAGCGCCCCTGCGAAGGCCCCCCGCCCCACTGGATGAGGCGACCACCCACGCCAGCCGCTCGCGCACGGGGGGGCGGCGAGGGGCGAGGGAGGACCTCCCACGGAGCGCCTCCCTCGAGGAGCGGAGGGGAGGAGGCGGAGGGGGGGGGGAGGAGGAGGAGGAGGAGGAGGAGGAGGAGGAGGAGGAGGAGGAGGAGGAGGAGGAGGAGGAGGAGGAGGAGGAGGAGGAGGAGGGTGAGGTGGGGTGGACCTCCTCCCCCGGGCGAAGCAGAGGGAGAGGAAGAGGAAGCAGGGTGAGGGCACGGAGGAGGAGGAGGAGGACCCAGAAGAGAGATGAGACTCAGGAAACCAAAAACTGCAATGCGGGAAAACAACTGCAACGCAGGTCTTCGCAAACCCGGGTCAGCCATTAGGCGCGGCCGCCTCGCGGCCACGAGCGGCTCGCTAACCCGGGTCAGCCAGAGGGGGTCTTCGCAGGATCCTGCAGGATCTGGCGCCCTGGCTGACCCCCGTTTGCATTGACCCCCGTCTCAAGGCTCCCGACCAGGGGGGACAGAGGAACTCCGGGAGGGGGGACGAGAGGGGTACGAGGGGGGAAGGTGGGAGGGGGCCGCGATGCGACGCGAAGCTTCGATCGAGTCGTGCGCCAACGGTGCGCCAGGCCCTAGGTGGGTGGAGAGGGGGACCTCACGGGGAGGAGGGGGGTCGGGGCAGCCCTTCGATCCGACGCTGCCATCCAAAATGCAGCATCGCGCACGGAATCACCCACGGAGTCCCGGACCCCAATCTTTCTGCGTCCCTGTTCGGGCCCGATCGATCTGTGAGGACCCCGGGGCCCGAAAACAGGCGAAAGCGCCGGAGGAGGAGGAGGAGGAGGAGGAGAAGGAGGTGGAGGAGGAGGAGGAGGAGGAGGAGGAGGAGGGGGAGGAGGAGGAGGAAGAGGAGGAGGAGGAGGAGGAGGAGGAGGAGGAGGAGGAGGAGGAGGAGGAGAAGGTGGAGGAGGAGGAGGATCTCAGGGAGAGAACAGGACGAGCCTGCGGTGGGCGGGCGGAGCGCGCGCGCAGCGCACCGAGGCGGCCTCCAGGGGCCGCCGCGCTGCCCCGGCCTGGCAGGGCCTGCTCGTCGGGCCGGGCGCGGCATGGGCGGGCGCCTCGGCGCCGGGGCCGCCGCCCGAGAGGTCCCTCGCGCGAGGGCGCCCTGCCCGAACACTTCAGAACCGGTGCTCCTCGGAGGATGCCCCTTCGAAACTTCAGAACGGGAGCCTCCCACGGGCGATCGAGCCATCTTGCTGGCCCCTGCGAGCCGACGCCGCGCGACGTGGCTCGGCGCCGAGCTGCCCGCAGCGACGCCACGTCGACACAGAATCGAAGCCAGACCATCGGCTACATACCAGACGCCCGCGCTCGCAAGTGCGCGCTCTGAAGACGGAGTTACGAGGACACACGAGGCTCCCATGATTTACGGCCGGAAGAATGGACGCTGAAACATCGCGAACAATCACGACTAGAACCATGATTTCGGCCTTGCTCATGCATTTGTTGAGCAGGGTCGCTTTCTTCTGGCCCCGGGGCGCAACAAGCGGGCGAAAACGCCAGGTGCCAAAATTGCAGCGCCTAGCTCGAGGTGGGCTCTCAATGCCCCGGGAAGCAGGATGCCAAGATCCAGCTTTCGGTCGGGCATGTCCTGCTACATGCGGATTTTGGCAAACATCTCCAACACACATGTGGTAATACTCTGAACAACTTCAAGCATAGTAAAGAAAAACTAAACAAATCGTCCCCAGGCTATTTCTTACGTTTTTTTGTTATTAATATCCTCCTGTAGAGAGACAGGCCCGCCTGAAATCCAGCTGGGCCTCCCGGAGGCCCGCCGCGGGGTGCGAGGGCCGCCTGGGGCGCCGACGAGGGGGCAGACCCACGGCCCGAGAGCTCCGCGCGAACGCCTGGGCCAACGGATCGGGAGCTCCACGATCTCGGGCATGGGGAGGCAGGCGCTGCTGCGTGGACTCCTCCTCCTCCCTCTCTCCTCCTCCTCCTCCTCCGCCTCCTCCTCCTCCTCCTCCTCCTCCTCCTCCTCCTCCTCCTCCTCCTCCTCCTCCTCCTCCTCCTCTCACGGGCGAAGGAGGAGGTCGAGGGCCTGGCGCGGCGGCATTCCCCTGCGAGGAGAGACGTCTCCACCGTCGCCCCAGCGCGCCAGCCTTCGAACCCCACAGAGGCAGCCCTGAATATCGAGTGCGTCCAGAAGGCCCCTGTGTCCAAAAGGCTCCACCGCTCTCACCGCTCTCCACTTCAAACCCCGCTCGCCAATACTGGTGTCTCGACGCAACGTCCAGAATCCTTTCTGTCCGTGTCGTCCTCTTCTGCCTTCCCTCCGCACGTCTTACTCTACTGCTCCATAGTCCGCCATCCTCCTTTACCCTTGCCCTCAATATCCTTCACACTGGCCTGCTCCTTAGCCACCTCCAACTCCTCCTCAACATCATCCTTCCACCCTCCCTCCCATTCTGTCCTCCCGCATCTGTTCGCTCGACTGAAAGCCTGGCAGGCATGGTGCACTCGGAGCGGAGCCACACGACAATCTGACCCTGACGGCCATGTCGCAACAAGTCTTCCTTTCTCGCGCAGGAATCACCAGGACCGACACTCCCTCAACGCTCCCTTCACCTCCCGTTCCAACCATGCGAGTCCGCCTGCGCTGCCCATCTGGCGTCACCGTAATTCGGTCGTCCTAGCCGTCTCTTCGTCGTGGGATCCGAAACCTGTCTGCAATCTACCATCGGGTACCTGCCTTTGTCATGCTTAGCAACTAAACAGAACAGCACACCATAAACTTACAACGGTCCACGTGGATTCGTTGAAACGGCGCTAACCTAGGTTGAGGCCAACACGAACATAGACTGGTCGCTTCTGTTTGCCAATGCATCAAACCAAACCACCAACCGTGTCCGCTACCCCGTATCTAAAGTCGCGGCCCAACTTAGGCTACGTCCTCACTGAGATATTGGGCTTGGGGCTCTGTCGCTCTCAGGGACGAATGCACAGGACCAGCACCTCGCTCGCTGGCTCAACTCGGTCTCGGGTGGGAGCAGCACACACAAGTCCATATGCGTACACATACATCTACATAAAGCAGATCGTGTACATATATACATATATATATATGTATTTATATATACATCACGATTCATACGTCTATATATATATATATAGATGTAGACATCATGTACACACACACGCTAAGGTATACGGGCCTGGCCAGAAACGAAGTGCACATGTGTTTTGGTCGAACGCCTTACCCCCGCGAACCTATCCCGAAACATCTCTACTAGACCGTGCGCGGTGGCGGATGCGACCAGAAGCTCATGGTCATGCTCCTGCCACCGACACGGCGAACGCCCAAGACCGGCCCCTCGCTCGCCGGCCCCAGTCGCTGCCAGGCCCAGCTCAGACCAGCAGGGCTCCAGGAGCTCCTCGGCGGCAGCGGCGAGTCCCGTGCACGGCGGTCACCGCCGGAGCTCGCCACTGCAGGCAGCGCCGCCTCCGTGCAGGCAACGCTAGAGGGGGGGGGACGGGATCGCTGGCTCGGGGGGGGGGGGGAATATTGAGCTGGAATCGGCGTGTTCCTGGGCGGGGTGCGTTACTCTCGGGCAGGGACGAACTCGGACCAGGACAAATCGGGATCTCTGATATCTGGCGGTTCTGGAGGATATATCGGGCAACGCGGCCTTCTCAGAGCGTTCCAGAACGCTCTGAGATCGTTCCAGGACGCTCTAGGAAAACTCATACTTGTCCTATCCTGGAGGGGTACTGCAACTCTCGCGCGCGGTCTGTCTCCCCACGCCGCTCAAGTTCAGTGTTCGCGCGGGGCGCCGCGCGATCAGATTTTTCCGCCGTCGACCGCGGCTGACTCCACATTGAAACCGGGGGTCGCGGCCCAAGCACCCAGAATAGCCTGCCACTATACCAGGCTTAGCTAGAGGCCTCTCAGATGGGGTCCGAGCAGACTGGGTCGGAGGCTCGCGCCGCATCGTTAATGCATCGGCGACGTCGGCGATGCACCAGCGACGTCGGAGTGGAGAACCTCAGGCCACACATCGAGCCGCACCGCCGATGCATCGGCGATGCGGCGGGGTCCTCCGACCCCACCTGCATGGACCCCATCTGGGAAGCCTGGGGTGAATCCCCGCCCGCCTCCCCCTCAAGGACGGGGCTGGGACGAGGATAAGTCCGTTCCAGAGCGTTCCGGAACGCTCTGAGAAGGCCGCGGCGACCGAGACATGCTCCAAAGTCGCCAGATCTCAGAGGTCCTCGATTTGCCAGGGGCGGCGCCGGAGGCGCCGCAGGGGGGGGGCCCAGCGCGGATCCAAGGAACCCGAGCGGAGCGCCCAAAGTTAATGTTTGTAGCGTTTTTGGCTTTTCCAGAAGATCCCCACCCGACTTTATCCGCGTCCTGCCTTCGTCTGACACCCCCTCACCCTGTCCTGCTCGCTCCTGGCCTCGTGGAGCGCCGGGCGCTCACGTCAGCAGCGCCAGGGCCCCGGCGGCGGCGGCGGCGAGCGCGGCGCCGGCGCGCGGGCGGCCAGCGCCGCCTGCCAGGAAGAGGCCAACAGTCAACCCGTATCACGAGGGTGCGCGGTGAGGGTGCGAGGGGATTGTGCTCGCGTGTCTCGAACGACGCTGGCCAGGGAAAGTCGCCAAGGATGGGCCGAAGGGGCAAGGATGAAAGAGGTACCCTCGCGAAGGTTGCCCATCCGAACTATGCGGGTAGACTGCAGCTCAGGAGACCAGACCTCGGGCGCCTCGAACAAAAACACGAAACACACGTTTTTCATCGTGTCTGGCCCCTCGGGGCCGTTGCCAGGCCCATGGGGCCGTCACAAGACGACGCGGGATGAAAAACCAAGCCTGGGGAAGCGGTCGAGAAGTCGGGTGCCCGTGTCTCAAACCAATCACGACGCCGGATGTCTGGGTCTTGTCCAGGTACTTGCTCTACTCGGTTCAGGGCCAACCCGATAACCGACAGGCCCACGCCGCCACGGCACCGACGGGCCGGGGCCGGCAGGCCTGGCATCGCCGCAACTCGGCTCCGTGAACGCTCTTCTGGGGACGTGACAAAAATCACGACGGGAAGCTTTTCGCAATGTTCGGCCTCTGGGGGCCCTTGCTGGGCCGCGGGATCGTCAAAGAACCACTCGGGATGGGACACCCGGTCCCGGGGAATGGGTCGAGACCTCTGGGGGTCGACGTCTTGAAAAAACATGACGTCGTGGGTCTGGGATGAGTATCGTTTAACAGATCCCCATCCCCAGCGGCATGGCCTAGGCCCCACTGGCAGATTTACTCCCCTAACTGGGGATATAGGCCGTCCCCTGCGGGTTTCGAGGGGTGTCTCCCCAACTGGGGCGGTCATTTGGCGGTGGCCTCGAAGGGGATGGGCATGGGGATGGGGATTGGTTAAACGATACCGAATGACGCCGGGGGTCTGGGAACGCCCCTCTGGGCTCACCGGCCACGGGGCCCGACCGGCCCGGACCAGCGACGCCCCGACGATGGCCGCAGAGCGACTGGCCCGGACCGGCCCGGCCAGACCCGCATGACGGCGGAGGGACCGGACCGACCAGCGCGTGACGAGGCTGCGGATGCCCTGGCGCACGCCCCGGCCCCACGAGGAGCCAGACACAGGCGGGGTCGACGGGCGCGTTATAGGAGCTGGAGGTGCAGTGCCGACGGCGCCCTCGCGCAGTTCGGCGTCACACGCAGATGCGAGGAGGAGGAGGAGGAGGAGGAGGAGGAGGAGGAGGAGGAGGAGGAGGCAGAGGAGGAGGAGGAGGAGGAGGAGGAGGAGGAGGGGGAGGAGGAGGAGGAGGCAGAGGAGGAGGAGGAGAGGAGGAGGAGGAGAAGGGGGAGGAGGAGGAGGAGGAGGTGGAGGAGGAGGAGGAGGAGGAAGAGGAGGAGGAGGAGGAGGAGGAGGAGGAGGAGGAGGAGGAGGAGGAGGAGGCCAGCCAGCCAGCCAGCCAGCCAGCCAGCCAGGGCGCCACCTCCGCCCTCAGCAGCGTCCGCCTGCCGAGGCGGCTTCCCGTGCGTGGTCACCCAGACGGCCCCGTACGGCATCCTCAACCTTCCCCCGAGGAGCCAGAGCGGGGGCATGGATAAATTCCTTGCAGCTGAGGCCACGTTTTCAATCCATGCCGCGCTTCCACTGGCGCCCGGCATGGGGGGGGCGCGGGTGTATGGATCGAGCGTCGATCGTCGATAACGCGCCCGCCGGGCGGCCGGAGCCGGGCCGCAGAACCCGCAGCGATCAGCCGAACGATGGCGACAAAGACGAAGACGAAGACGGCTTCGATACTTTGTCACGCCGGGCGCTTTCGCGAGTTTCGGGCCTCGGGGCTGGCGAGACAGATCTGGCATTCAAAACACGCTGCAGAAACACGGGCGCACATGTGCTTGTCGGACGCTTGCGAGCAGGCGCTCTGCGAGCAGTGGAACGCGCCCGGTGAAGAACAGACAGAACGCCCAAGCGTAGTTACCCTCCCCAGGATGCACACGAGCATCCGCGCAGGATGATCAAGATGCTGCACGGATTCGCCACGTCACATCTCAGGGGACGACGACGACGGCGGCGAAGGCACCGACGGCGCCTGCCACTTGCCTCCGATCCGACCGTCCTGGGCAAAGGTCGGCGGCCCATCTCGCCCCCTGTTGTGGTACCTAATTGGGGCCTTCCAGATCGATCCGGCTTGGGACTCGGACCCCCCTCCTCGCCATCGCTCGGACGTCCATTCCCTGTGTTTTTTGTTCGGTTTCGTGCGTGGTTTTTCGGCAAATGGTCAAGGATGCTCCTCGATGGTCCTCGCCGAAGAAAAAACGCACACGTCCGAGCGATGCCACGCCTCTGCTCTCCCTCTTCGGGCGTCGCGAGAACGCCGTCTACGCCACGCTGGCAGCTCCACGCACGGCGGTGCATACGTTCTCGTGGGAGAGTGCTG